CTGGTAGCAGTAAATATAAAATCAAAGCAATATACTTGAAAATAATTTTACTTTTAAAAACTAAAAATGGCATTCAAGCTCAAGAGTTCTGCAGGGATACTTCACACTCCTGTTGTTTGCTTCTAAAAACACATGCTAAATTTATGAGTAAAATTCAGCCTTTGAGCATAATTAAGCAGGCAAGCTCACATCAAAGCTTTGTTTCATCATCTTTAGACTGATCTGTTAGACAGCTGGTCCTTATTAAACACCCTTTAAATGTTGCAGTTTTAAGTAAGTAAAACATCCATGTTATATTAACATTACCAAATAATTAACTAAAGAAAAGCTAGTATCATCTAATCATGACAGCTTAACATCCTCTCACCCGTGGACTATAAAGTATTAATCTGTTAAAGCAGAACTTGCTCTTAAATAAATGTCTCAAGATTTTAAATGAACAAGTCTGATACAGCAGTTTCTGTACTTGTACTAACTCAAAAGCAGATTTTGAGGAGAAGTAAGGCAGGGAGTGGAGTTCAGCATCTAAAGTAAGGGACACGTTCTAGAGAGGAAATCAATCAAATCTGTAACAGTCCCAAGCGACTTCAACTGCAGAAACCCTGTTAAATCAACAGCTGATGAATTATCATCATATTCAGATTACTCAGTTTTATGCAAACACACAAGGAAATACACAATTTTGTTGGAAACACACAATTTCGTTGTTAATACTGAGAGTTAGTTTCAATTAGTTTCCCTATTTTTTCCTCTAGGTCATGTATTTGAATGCTCATTCTGAAAACACAGCATTAAACTGTAGAGCCTCACAGTTCCTGAGGAAACAGTCATCTGTGACTTTAAACATTAACATATTTATGCTACTTTGTGCATTTTTTAAATCATTTAAATAGGCATATTGTCATCAACACTTTTTGACACTAGAGTAGGAATGGGGTCTCATTCTCTGCTATGTAATTCAATAAATGAAATTCAAAAGGAAACCCCAAAACAAACCCTGGAGGGATCCTGAAGCCAAACTCTAAGCTAAACAAGAGTGATACAGATGCCTACCTGCATGACTGACCATGCCTGCAAAGCCTTGCACTCAACATGTTGCATTGTATCTAATCACAGAACACAGGAAGCTTTAAGTGACACATCTCATCAATTCTGAAATGCTATCAATTGTTCTGGATGCCAGGGAGAGGATCTATTGATTCTATAAATTCTCAAAAAATGGCACATAGAGAACTGCTGGCATCTGTCTGCAGAGCTTTAAAGCAGCTTTGTAACTGTCTATAGATTAAAGAACACCCTGATGGCAAACATTAACACCTTCCACTATGCTCCATCTTAGGTTTGTCTTCTGCCCAATACCTTTTAAAACTTTTAAATACTCTGCAAGAGAAAATCTGGGGTTTTTTAACTGTTGGAAAATAACATTAAATAGAAGGGAGAAATTTAAATTTTGGTAATTTCTTACCATTTTACAGGATGCTTATCCTCTAAAATAAAGTTCCCAAAACATGTCCTTAGCAAGGAAAAGTATTTCTGTATGACCTAGCTCTGTGCCTGGTAGATTCCTAAATGTGAAGAAGTATAAGTCTACTTTGGTATGCTTGAGGGGATAAATGTAGGGACACAGCAGCATGAGCCTAAAGAATAATTAGGCAGGCAGAGATCCCAATAGTGGAGCAGTAGGACATCTTCAGTGTCTCTGCTCTGAAGTGAAAGGAAATAGAAAGTTCCTCACATAAAGAGAAGTGGACACAGGGAGTTCCAGGGGGAGTGCAGGGGAACAGAGCCCTCCAGTCTGTCTGAGCAGCTTTGCTTAGCGGAGCAAAAGAAGGTACAACTCTCTGCTAATGAGGGGAGGGCTGCTAAAATGCTGGATTATTTATTCTTCCTCATCATACAGTCCCATTAAATTTACGCTTTATACTGAACACGGTTCAGTGCCAGGAACTTCAGAGGAATTAAACATATGAAAAAAATTACTCGTGTGCAGTCCCATTAGAATCTACAAAACAACTTGAAAGTAAAGTTGCTCATGTGTTTAACACTGAATAAATGAATCTGAACTATATTCAAATCATTCTCAGATCATACGTCTGTCTTCTCTGTGCACCTCATGGCTTGTTTACAGCATGAGAAAAATTCAGGGTCTGCTTTTCCAGAGCAGCTCCCCATGTGGACACACTTATTCTAGATTAAAACAGGCCCTTCTCTGAACTACTGCTATTCTGGATAAAGGTATGCACATGAGGTCCTAAGATCATCCATATGGAAAACTACTTTGCAATACTATTCTACTTTAAGCAAATGTCTTCCCTAATGTGAAATAATATTAGGTGTTGGAATACATCAAAATTCCTATTAAACACCAATGAAAGGAATCCTACACCAAGCAAAGTGAATCCAAATTCTACAATCCTGAACCCACTGAAATCTGATAATTCTTAGCCACAGTAATGTTAAATTACTCGTCCTTGTATTAATTGCTTTCCTGCTACACGTACATAGAGTTTGCAAGACAAATGTCAGTTTATTACCAGAGAAGATGTATAATACAGGTTATAAATATATTTTGTGATGGAAGTTGTAAAACAAACAAAAAATCACATCTAGAATGTGATTTCTTTTTTCGCTTTGAAAATGTTAGATATTAATAATTTCAGAAGATATGAATAAAGCCAACAAATACTTCCTTATCAAATTCTTTTAATCATAGTCCAAAAATATGGCCTCATTAAGTCAGTTTTTACTGCTACAAAATATTGAGGATACTTAAACTGTATTTTGTACAGTGAAAGAAACTTGTGCATTACTTGTGCATGTATGTATATTACCTCTGTATGTATGGAGAAGAATGGAACACAGATTCTCAAAAATAGCACTCAAATGATGAAAAAAAGATTCACCATAGGGAACTGCAATCCACATTTGCAATTTAACAGAGGAAAATACCCAATGTGCATGTATCTAAGTGCACATACAATCCCAGCTAGCTACACTTTATTTCTCATCGAAAAACCATTAAAAGTTAAATTATATACTTTTAGATTATTTATGCTCTTGAGAATTACCTCAGTTCAACCACTTCATTTAATGCAAACTAGACGTTTTTACTTTCTCTATATAAAATGTTAAGATTTATTCATGCCCTTAACATACATTAATTAGACACTACTTATAAATAACCTGCAATAAGAATAACTATTTGAATAGGATACAATTACTTAGGGCTTGTGTCTTTTCAATCAGTCAGTGTCCCTGCAGTGTTTAGAGTGGCAGAGGGGAAGTGGCCTGTGGTTAAACAGAGGAAATACCAAGGAATTTTAATAGAGCAAATAGTCTCTTTACTTCCTACAGGGCACTACTTCAAAGGCAGCCCTGCTCCAGAGCAGACAATGTGTTAGAGGGGCCATCAGTCATTTAATAGTATGTCAAGTCTACTCAAAACTTACATGCAGCCCAAGATAAATACCACATAACTGAGACAATGGGTACCATCCTGCAGTCATTACTCTAATAAATGCTGCCCTGCCTGCAGTACGGAGGCAATCATGTGCAAGGGTGGTATTACAAAATCAGACCACAAAATTATAACTACACAATCAGACAAGGTATCTAAAAAATTGGCAAGGGAAGTCTGAACTTGAAGCTGAGAATACAATAAAACCAGAAACTAGTACCAATATTTTAAAAGCTAAAATGTTACATTAGTTGTGAGCAATAAAGACAAAGGGGGGCTTATGCTAATTGCAAAGAATGTAAGTTTGCTGATTTAAAGGTCAGTCAAAATCATTGTTTTAAAATAATTACATTGTGATAGAGTCCTGTTTGACATACACAATGACATTAATTATGTAAGCAAAAAAATCCAGAACAAACTGCAGCTGCATATTTCTATACAATATACATTAATTCAAGTGTATTACAAGTCAAGTACTTTGACTTCTAACAGTGATCATTTACTTAATAGAAGATGCAAAACTTGACACAAATATACAGTGGTGTTATGAGCCTGTGGAGTACCCTGCCCATGTCTGGTGAAACACACAATAGGCGTACTAAGCCAAAACATTTTATTGCAAATTCTGCTAAAAAGACCAAACAGGGGAGTCTAAACCTGTAACAGTTCCATCCAACACAAAGGTTTAGATCTTAAGTTTTATCAGGGTTTGCAGTTTGTTTTTTCATGCTCTCTTTTTATATATTTCTCGATGCTTTCACCTTTCTAAACTATGCCCTACAAACTTCTGAACTCTGTGTTGCAGCAACGTTCTCAAAGGATCTGATCTGAAACCAAGAAAATCCTTAGTGACAGTCTAACAAAAAGGAAAAGCAATGAAAGTCAGTTGTGTTCCCTCCAGTGTTCCCGGATCACCACGCTTCAACTAAACCTGCAACCAGACATCAGGAGAAAGGAAAGGAACAAACTAAAACATACAACTCAAAAGTTATTAAAAGCATACTTAAAAAAAAAAAATATGAAACGCATCGAGAGAAGTCTGACAGCAAACAGCAGAAACGGGAACAAAAGGCAAAGACCAGTCACAAAACTTTTATCACCTTCCTCCCCTCTTCCCCCTCCCGTAAATTTCCTACATCCTCTGTATAATGATCAGGCCCGGAGCTAAGACCCCGAGCCGGCCTCGAATCATTAAAATAACAAAGCCCCAGCGATCGCTTTTATCCAGGTCGACTCGGGAAGTGGAGAGCGCTGGTGGCAAAGGACCTGTTGAGTGACTTCTTCACACTCGCCGGCTACGAGCCGCCTCTCCCCTCGGCGAGAAACCCATAAATATCCCTCGCCGGGAAATGCCACCCTGTCTCCCGGCTGCAATTAACTTCCAGATGCAGAGCCCCGGGGCAGCGTTATTTGTTGCAGGAGTGTCCTCAGGGCAGCCGCTCCCTCCCTGCTTCCCGCACGCCCGGAGCCCCGCGGAGCCCCGTGCCCGCGGTGCGGCGCGGGGAGCCGCCAGCCCCGCTCCGCTCCGCTCCGCTCCACTCACCCTCCCTGCGCACGCATCGGCCGCCGGGCCCCTCCTGCCGCCGGCTGCCCCGGCAGCGAGCCGGGCTCCGCCGAGACAGGCGGCGAGGGCGAGGAGGACGGAGCCGAGCTGCAGCCCCGGTGCCATGGTCCGCAGCGAGCCCGGCGCGGGCGGCGGTGCTGCCGCCGGGTGCGTGCCGGTGCCCGGTCTGCCGCTCCGCCCGGTGCCTGACTCCGCACGCTCTGTGTGTGCATGCGCGCCCGGCCCGGGGGCGGGGGGTTCGCCCGAGCCCCGGCCCCGCCGCCCCCGCCCCGCTCCAGTCCTCGCAAACGGCAACAATGGGAGGGAGCAGAACCCCTTCCGGCTGCTTTGCTTTGCTTTGTGCCCTTCCCCTCCTCTCCCTTCCCTGGGACCCTCAGTACGCGGTGCCTCCCCGGGACACCGGCGTCCTGCAAATTAAGGGGGTTAAACCAGTACCGGGCTGAATTCCCATCTTCGTTCCGTGCTGCAGTACCACATTGCTGATCCACTCACTACATCGCGAGGAAGAGAGGTGTCAAGGAAGACCAGTCATAGATCTTTGACGTGATTTCATGCATTACCGAATCACAGAATCAATTAGGGTGGAAAACACCTCTGAGATCATCAAGTGCCATGTCCAATCTTTTCCTTCAACACTTTCAAGGGACAGTGACTCTTCCATCTCCCTGGGCAGTCCATTCCCAAGTCTAATCACCCTTACTGTGGTGAAATTCCTCCCAATGTCCAACCTCAACCTCCCCTGGCACAGTTTAAGGCTAAGTCTTCTTGTCCTGTTACTGCCTGGGAGAAGACCCCAGAGGCTACAATCTCCTTTCAGGTACCCGTAGAGGGTGATAAGGTCACCTCTAAGCCTCCTCCAGGCTAAACACCACCAGCGCCCACAGCTACTCTTCAATTACACTTTAATTAAGGAAGACAAGCTGGAAGAATATACTATCATAAAATTTTCAATTGCTGAAAATGCAAAGGAAGTCATACATGGCAGTAAGTGTTTCAACTTTTTCAATTGGAATTAACCAGCTGGTAATTTTTAACTATTATTGGTTTTACACCTATCATAGATTTTCCATCCTTTGTGACTAGTGGTGAAAATAATATGATAAAGATTTCTTAAACAGTTTGTTTAGGTTGATGGATCACAGCCCTGGCACTCACCTTTGAAAACAGGTTTGTGACTATGGGATGGCTAGTGCCCTCCATTGTGACATGAACAGAAATTGCATTTTTTACATTAAACATGTTTTAAAACAAAAATTGGAGATTAGGCCATAGTTCTTTGCTGCTCTGGGATCAAAAGGTTCTTACTTTTGATCTCCATTGCCCCTGCAGGCTGGAATTCTGAAAAAGGTAATACTAAGTCTCATGGTGGTGTTCCACTAATTTTATAATGAGATGTTTTTGATGGTCAAGTACATCCAGGTCATGAATGTAAGTTTAGCACATTTTCTCCCTGTACACCACATGCTTCTGTCTGGGTATTTCTGCTTTACTTTCTCCTTGCATTACTCAGAAGTCATCTAACAGGCTTGAAAACTGTATTAGCATTTTTATTTTTAATCAAGTCAGGCTGTATAAAACCTGTAAATAACTAGTAGTTTTATGTTTGAATGAATTACAAAGGACATTAAATACCACAGCATCGTGGCTAAAGAAAGGAAGATGTACGTACAGTTCATTTACAGGTCAGTAAATACCTCTGCTTCCCATAACCACCTATGACAAGCAAGGATTCCCTGTTCTACATAATGCCATTGATCCGCAATTAAATCTTCTAAACCATGGGGGAAACTGTTTGGCTTTTTCTGTTAATTGAGATCTAGACTGCTGGAGAAGCTGTAATTTTTAAGTGAGGGCAAAATTAGCAGTATCTGACAATTAGCATTAGCCTGTGATGTTTTTAACAAAAACAGACACACAACAAATACTGCCAATTCCTTGCTGGCAGAACAACTGAAGAACTCACAGCTGCCACTGGTTACACTGGCAGTATCCAGAAAGCAGCAAAATGATTGGTCATATTTACTGAGAGCTCAAACCAGCAGCACAAAGCAAAGATACCATTTGACAAAACCAGCATTGATACTTCCTACCCAACAGTCCAGCCTAAGCTAGTAACAAAATGACACGTCTGAAAAACAACTCCTCCATGCTGCCACCATGTCCAACTTATCCTGTGAGTGCACTGCCTGAATACAGAAGCAGTGCATTGCTTTGGATCCATTTAGAATAATTTCCACTGTGGAAAACAGTAGTGGAGAGGCAGGAATCAAATGACTGCAGTTAATGTTTCTAACTACAGTCTCCAAATTGCTGTGAGCTCATGGAAGGGCAAAAGTGGCTGTGGGGACTCTGCTTGTCTGTAGGTTCTTTTGTCCTTTTTACAACAGTCTCTTGTTTCTGAGTAGTATAGAATGCATAATATCCAAGAGTCATGGATATCAATATCCTGCATTCTACAGCTGGTTTTGGTTGTCACTCTCCCATCTTGCTTAAAGCTAAAAATCTGTCCTGTTTTTTCCCTTCTCCTTTCTGAGCAGCTGTTCCCAGCTGGAGGAAACAGTGAGAACTCAGCAATTCCTATAGAAACATGAAAACTTATGCACCAAAAATTTCCAGAATTTTGGTTAAAAATTCCCTACAAAATCTTTCTTTTGCTCATCAAAAATTCATTTTTGGACTTGGAAGCTGTATGCTCCATCCATAGTTCATATTTCTAGCACTGAATTATCTCACAAGAGAGACTGACCTTGAGTGCAAAAGAAATCATTCAAACAGCTCCTTTGGGGCAGAAAGGATGCATCAGGCTTGCAGAGTATTCAGCTAAGTCAATCATGACTACTGCAATATCACAATATTGCAATAAGTCAGTAATTCCTGTTTCAGACAGACACTGCTCATTGTTAGGAAAAGAGCATCAGATGCAGTGAACCAAACAGACAATGTGCTAAGAGAGATCCCAGGACAGAAATCCCTCAATGTGAGGGTCTTCTGGAACTTCATCCTGCAGATACCTGAAGACAGAAAATCAGACCTTTTGAAAGAACCCATTTACATGAAATTGTCCCACTTCAATGGGAATGGTTTATCTATGGGATGAGCACTGAGCATAAAATAGAGGATGAACCATCTTCCAGGATCAGACCTTAAGAAGAAAATTAACAAGTGTGAAATGGATGTGGACACCCCCAGCAAGGGCATGAAAATTTCCACCTGTGTCAGGGGTCACAAAAATTCTGTTTCCATGGAATCTTCTGTATTATAACATGCCATAGTTTCAAATGATCTGGCCAGGCTCAAGTGAAAGGTTATCAACTGATAAGAAAACAACCCCAAGCCATAAAATTGAATTGAAATTTGGATAAAATCTATCATTATCAAGTACCCATCTTGTTCAAGGCAACTGTTAAATCATTATGCCTTGAGAAATGTGACAAAAATTAATGAACACAGAGTTCTCAAATAAAAATCTGCATTAGCAGTCTCATTTTATAGATGGGGAAACATAAGCACCAAGTCATAAAGATCCTGCTTTTATGCCTTGCACACATGCTCAGGGCTAAACCAATAATTAGATTTGGAGTCAAGTCTTTTTCACAGAGCAAAGACTCTGTGCCTCAGTAAGACAGGAAAAGACCCCTGTGTGTAGCATTCTTTGGTTTTAATTTGCTTTCTGTAGAGACATACTCCACTTGCTAAGGTCATCCAGACAGTACCAGTGGGTGCAAGCCTCCAGAACAACTCCACTCCAGTGGCTGCTTCTCTCTCAGGAGTGGCAAAGAGCACCCAGCAGGCTGTCCTGGCAGCCAGCTGCCTCCTGCTGTGGCCACACATTTATTGGCACTTCTGGAATAGCTGCTGCTGTGTCCAGATGGGAAAGTGGAATTAGATGCATGAATTCTACTTTGACGCTGCCAGCCATTTTTATATCCAGATGCTTTGCAACAGGTCCTGAAACTGAGCATCCAGTCCTCCCTGCTGCCTAAGCCAGACCTTCCAGGATCCCACAGAGTGTACCAGCAGGGATGTTTCTCTCCTGCTCACTTTTTTTGTCACAGTGACATGTTTGAGATTTTTCTCAAAAATCTCAAGTCCGTCTCCAGATATTTGGGGATGTTTTGAGGCTTGTAGAGTTCAGAGGGAAGGGAATGAATGGTCTTGTGACCTTTCTGGATGACTTAATCTCTTCTACAGGAAATTGCACTTAATGACCAGAGAAGTTTAAGTCCTATATTCCTAGAGGCTCAAGTCAGCATCAGATGTAGGAGTATGTTATGGCAAAAAGGAAATGACTGAACTAAACCAAACAGCAATTATACAAAAATTACTTCTGATCACCATCAAATTAACAATTTGTCAGTGATCCATGGATGCAAATCTTCATATAATGTTACCCCTCCCCAGACCTCACAGTTACCTCTGTTGTATAGATGCCTCCTTCTTCTACTGTCAGAAAAAGTTTGTAGTCAAATGTCTACTTTCTGTATTTCTGTTTAGTTTTATATCTGTTTATTCACATGAAGATAATCAAGGAAGTTCTCTAAGATTATTCAACTTAGTGATTTGCCACCAAGCACACTCCTCCCTGCTCCAAAAGCACACCAAAGTGCTCACCCTGTGGCCACATGTTTCTGAGGGAGCAGGGCAGGACTGCATCTTTCAGCAGCACTCTTCTGTTACACTGGATTAGGTGTAACATGAAACTGCACTTTTAAAGAAGACTAGATTTATGATGCAAAGAAAATTAAAAATTGAATGGATGAGTCATTTTTCAGTAAAAATTCTGTTGAACTGAAATTATTCTGAACCAACTGCTGTATCGCCAAAGTTATCTATGTTTTATTATTTAACAAGTGAATAATTTGTAATGTTCAATTTTAAAATAATGTATTTCTGCAATACAGAAATGTTATCTCAAACAGCTATTAAAATGCAAACCAAGATCCTCACAATGCAGTTTGAATAAATGCCAGAAATTATAATGAAGTAATGTCTTTACAAAAGTTTCCAGTTCCAGTTCTACTCTCAACCCCTTCTTATTGCAGCACAATGCTTCCCATGCAGACTGCCTGTCATTTTCCTTCTGCAGGGAAATACGGGGGAGGGAG